GATAGATAGATAGATAGATAGATAGATAGATAGATAGATAGATAGATAGATAGAGATAGAGATAGATGTATAGATATACACACACATACACACACACATACATACATACATATTCGGTACCATGTAAAATGTATAAGATTGCATTGCCTGAGAGGTCTTGTAATGAATTGTTCCTTCTCTCCTGCTTTTGTGAACATCTACACATGTTCTTGGATCAATATTAGTATAGATGACAAAAGTAGTTGTAGGATCCAATCTGGGTCTGTCAATGGGAACAGAGATTTAGCCTTGTGAAGTTTTGGATGTAATTATTCTAGTCTGAAAGGTCAGAAGACTAAACCTCTAGTCCTAGTGACCAGCCCACGTTGGATCCTGCAGCATTATCCTGGATACATATATTCACTATCATTCATGTTTTAGAATCCTATGGTGGGCAATTCAATTCTTCTTCAAATAAATTTCAGAATAAATTTACTAATCTTTTATCTTCAGATCCTGGATTCTAATTTGGTGCTTAACTAGACCATTTTGACTTTATATATAAAATTGCATTGATTTGCAGTTGTGCACTTGCTGTAATCTGAAGCCAAATGTAAAAGTATAGTTGTAGAGCCAAAAACATTTAAAAACAGCAATAAGGGAATAAAGATGCAGAATAGCCCCTCATTTTAAAGAACAAAATCAGAATCTATAGGAATTTTTGGCTACAATAAACCCTAGTCCTGTTTCTTGAAATTGTAGAAATCTTCTCTGTTCTGGAGTGCTTGTTCTTCTCATCTTTTTTCAGAATACCAAAATATAATATAGCCTCAGTGTTTGTCTAATTCATTCTATATTTGTTATATACTAAGGCTACTCTACTGAGCAATAGCAGTGGACATTAAAGTACCAACTGCATATTTCATGTGTATTTTATATTATTACATTCTCTTTATAGGGCAGTGACATCAACTGTCACGGACTCATCAATCCACATAAAATTGGATCACAAAGCTATGCTGCATCATTTCGGAAAGAAAGCTTCAAAGATTTGAAAGAATTGGTGAGTTAAATGCATAGCTCCAATATCAAGATCTAAGTTCTTATGAATTGCTCCGGAATAGCAATCACAATTGACAATGTAGAAGTTCCCCTCTTGTTATGATTCCCAGCTAATTCTTCCATCCCCTGTATGAGCAGGCCGTAATGGGGTTGCTACAATTGTCCAATGTCCACCTCAACAGGAAAGTCGATTAACTGAATTTCAGGGTCTTGGGATTTAAGCCATAAAATGGGAAAAATCTGATGGTAGCAGTCTAAATGTAGCTACACACATAAGAAAAAGAAGGCTCTAAATGGAAGCTGAGGTTGGGTGAAGAGAAATGTGAAGTACATTATTTTTATATTATCATATTTTAAAATAATAAATGATGTTTTCTTATCTGTAAGAACTGCAAGAACGTTAGATGTAATACGATCACGTGCATGTTAAAAGATATATCTCTGAAACCTGAAAATTACGTTAATATTTCGACTAGAATCTGGAATGGGACATTTGCAACTGTAAGTAGTATATGAGTTTTATTCTGTTACCAACCTCTGAATATTTAAGAAATTGAAAAAAAAAACACCACTCTCTTTCCTTTTAGTTTACAAAATATAGGAAAGGCACATTATAAGTTATTGAAATAAAATGCAAGACATAAGGTTCAACTTTATAAGGAAAACGCAGACTGCAACTTCGCTTTATTTTTTTAGTTTTCCTAAGTAATTATGAAACTTGCAAAATGGAAAGTACAAAAAAAGGCAATTAATTTTTCTTCCTACTTCTTATTTACTGTAATTCCTATAGTAAAATTTTTATAAGGGGAAAAAACAATCCTATTGGTACCAAATTCTTTAAAAATGAACATGTCTATGTGGGGGGGACTTCAGAGGTGAGTAGATAAGAGGATTTGAACTGCCCAGGCTTATCTGTGGCAGTTGCAATCGTATTTGATTACGGTACTTGTAGATAAAAGTAGAAAAACATCCGTGTGTTACATTTACGATTAGATTTATTTGGCTTGTGCAATCCTTCCAAAGAAATACTTAAGTATGCCTGGGAGTGGCTATGTATCACTTCATTAAGAATGATTAAAGTGGCCATGCTGTTCTCTGGCACATGGGCTGCTTCAGAATCATCCCCTAGTCACCTTTGCATGGAGGTGCATGATGTTACACCCCTTAAAAGAATTGCCTCTGCAGATGCTCATATTCAAAAATAGCTAAGGGGCAGTTTCGGCACAGCTGCATCTGTTTGGGAAAAGGCACAGCAGCTTTAATTGTTCCAAAGTAATTTTCCAACAAACTCTCAAACATTCCAAACAACACCTTTCAAAAGATTTGCACAATAGGCTTTATGAGTGGTTAGAGATAAGAGGTAGAAATTAGATGACGAAAGATTATTGCTATGTATGAATTAAATATAAAGATGGTTAATAATTATAAACATGCTAATATAATTAACAGAATTACAAATAAGCCAATATTAAGAGAAATCTAGTTAAAATTATTTTGTAGTAGTAGTAGTAGTAGTAGTAGTAGTAGTAGTAGTAGTAGTAGTAGTAGTAGTAGTAG